GTGTGTGAATATATATATATGTGTATATATATATAAAAGCTGAATGAATGTCTGGTTATAAAGGTTATATGGGTAGGTGCAGATAGATGACCAAGTGCAAACATAATGTGGAATACAATAATCATGAACGTTGGAAATGCCATGGAAATTAACCCAGCAAGAATGAATAATGTAGGATGTAAGCTTAGAAACAAGTTCTGGGGTTTCATTTGATTGTCCCAGAGGCAAGGTAGAATAATTTGGATGGAATGAGTGATAGGATACAATTGACACCGTTCATGGAGTGGATGCAGTGAACAACCAATTGGTCTTTTCTCTTTCTGTGCTATCTGTCTGTACCTGAGGCTGAAACTGATAGTATCTACCTCTGGTTCTGAAGTGAAGATCCTGCCAATCTTTCTCCTGCTTGCAAATACCAGTGTCCAAGGTTTGTTTGCATGGTAGAACAAAACACGGAACTCACCTTCACTAAACTATTAGATATATAAATAAAAGTAACCATAAAATAAAAAAAAATAGCTTGGATACACAAACTAATTCAAGGTCATCCCTACATAACAGTTAACTCAAAGGAGCATTGTCTCTTTAAAAATGTCACAATACTTTCATATTCTCTCTCATTCTGCTGCTGAAACTCTAGCAAGTAGACGACTCATCTGTGAGGTCTTGAGTTTTGTCAGCTGATAGGCAGTAAGTGGAGCAGGCAGCAGATCTCAAGTTACTATGTATAACACAGCAGTACGAATTACACAAACACTGACAGTCCCACCACCACGGATCAAGTGAGGTATGTGCTAGAGGGCTCGTCACATCACATCCAGCACCTTACAGAGCAGGAATAGCAAATGGGAGGAAATGCCGGCTGACATATTACAATGATTGAGAGATCAAGGTAACATGTAAGTGTCTTAAAATCTTATGTTGAGATGCAAAGGGTCAAACTGCGGGAAGAAACTGTAATGATCCAGGGGCAACGCTTTTTCTTGTTATGTCACAAATTTCCTAGGTAGTTTATAACACATCCCAGTCCTCTGTCAATAGATTCAATCCTATGAATCAGACCGTCTCCTATTGGGCATCTATACTTTTTTGATTGCTTCCTAACAATTTCGGCATGCCTGAGATTGACATGATATTTTCAGTTTGATAGATATTGAAGTTGATTCTGTGTCTTCATGCTTCTATGTAATGTGCATTATCAACCAGTGTTGTATATATTTGCACTAGGCTATACTCATTCTCTATATTTGCAGGCATACATACATAAAGCTGTATCTGTGTGTTTGGGTGCATAGCACACTTTAGGATTAATACCTTTAAATCAATGCCAAGTCTGCATCTGTGAGGCAGCAGTTTCCACACTAAGCTCAATGGCACAGTGATAGTATGGCTGAGCTCCATCTATTTCCTTGCCATGACATTTCATAATTGCTGTCATAGATGTCTAAAACCAGTGTTTACAGATTCAGATTTTGATCATAAATCTCTGCTCACTTTTAATATCTTATTAACCAGAATCTATCCATCTGTCAGGCAGTTTCATGGCCCTATGTCTATCTGCAAATCAATCTGCAAATCAATCAGTTTATCTGTCTATTTGTACAGATCTGGCAGTTTATTTAGATGTACCATACCTAACTATATGTATGTGGAGGAGAATAATAATGTTACAAATCAAGGCTATTTGGTCCATTTAGCGTGTGCCAGCTCGCTGAAAAAAGTTATTCTGTATCTCTGTAAGTCTCAACCTATCTACCTAACCTTCCGTATCTGTGCCTGTCTATATTTCCATCCATAAGTATGCACTCCAGATTTTATTTATTCTAACTGAATAAATTACAATTGTTTTACAGGTTATTCTGTTAGAGAGCGAGCTGTACATAAAAATTGTTGCGTTAGTTGATGATTTCTCCGTTAGAGAGGGAGACAGTGATATGTTGGCGAATGCTGTGGTATGGAGAGGTGATTTAGATGGTTTCTCTGTTACAAAAGAACATCTAAACGGGGGAGGGTGTTGATGATTATCCGAAGCTGGAAATTTTTGTCAGGTGAGAACAACATATTTTCCATTGAGCCATTTACAGACCTTAAAGTTATCAGTTTGTTGTAGGATTTTGCATTAGTATCACTCTCTAGAGTATAACACGATAAAGTGATAAATACAAAGCGTATGAGAACCACGAACGATCCAGAAGACTGTGCTATTCTGTTCACACTGACAGATCGAGCGAAATTTGCTTCCATCAGGCAGGAAATAACTTTACCATTGGCTGATGGAATATCTAGCAATTCCCTCCAACTTATATTGGATAAATATTCAATTTCACCAGCATTGCAGATTTTAAATTGGATGTTTACCTTTTTTGTTTCGAAAAAATATTTATTTTGTCATGAATTCTTGTGCATGAGGTGATACCTGCCTTCTCTGGGAATAATGGACCACTTGTTCCCACTTCTCTGCCTCAACAATATTGCTCAATAATAGCAATTATCCACAGACATGGGGTCAACTTCCATATGTATGCCGATGAAACCCAACTCTATCTTTCTGCCTCCATCCTCAACTCCAGAACCACTGCTGTCCTGACAGACTGCCTGTCGGACATCAAGTCCTGGATAAGGGCAAACTTTCTACAGTTGAATGTGAGCAAGACTGAGGCCCTCCTGATTGACTCGCGCCGGCGCCTCTGCACCTCAGGCTCTGGCAGCATCAACCTCCATGGTTGCACACTACATCTCACCAAGCCAATCAGTAACCTAGGTGTCTTGTTCGACCCTCAACTGTCTTTTCCTCCCCACATCCAAGCCATGGCCCGCTCTGCCTTCCCTCACCTCCGTAACATCGCCCGACTCCTCGATTACCTCACCCCTCAGGCCTCTGAAACTCTTGTTCATGCCTTCATCACCTCCAGGTTCGACTATGCAAACACCCTTGTCGGCCTTCCCAACTCCTCCCTCCACAGGCTGCAGATAATCCAGAACTCTGCAGCCCGTGTCCTCTCCCGCACCAAACTCCGTGACCCCATCTCCCCTATTCTCACCCAACTCCATTGGCTCCCTATCCTTCAGAGGATCCAATTCAAAATCCTGGTCCTCACCTACAAAGACCTCAATGGTCTTGCCCCACCCTACCTCTGTGACCTACTAACTCCCTACCAACCCGCCCGCTCCCCTGCTCAGCCGGCTCCGGCCTGCTCCACGTCCCACGACCCACCCGCCCCACCATTGGCGGTAGAGCCTTCAGCCGCTCTTCCCCAACCTCTGGAACTCCATCCCCCAATCACTCCGCCTCGCCCCCTCCTTAGCTTCCTTCAAGTCCCGCCTCAAAACCCTCTTTTTCGACCATGCCATTGGTCACCCCCCTTCCCCTCCCCTCCCTTCTCCCCCCTGATCCCAGCTCAGATCTGAAATGCTGTACACTGTCCAGCGCTTGGGACATCCTCCCGATGTGAAAGGCGCTATACAAATGTAATCTTGTTGTTGTTGTTGTTGCTCAAAACCAATGTCAGACAGCATACCTTCTGCCATCAATAAGGAGGCTTCCATTTCCCACACTGCACTTTCTGAGCCTGAAGGCAATCAAGTGTTGTTTTGTCTTGAAAGACAACCAGTTTGTGCTGTGGGTTTGCATCCTCTGGAAACAGGCTCAAGGCTGTCCACGCACTTCACATCGAACTTTAGCAGCTAACAGAAAGAGGAGACTTTCATTCTATCAGCCAGAACTCTCCTGCATGCCACACCATCCAGGCCAATTATTCATTTTGATTTTCAAATTTTACATCCAGATGAATGTGGGAAGTGAGGTGACACAATTGGCTGCAGTACAAATGCACTGCACTTTGTATTGGTAGGGTGTTTCTAAGTTGCTCCACACTGGTTCCTTGCTCCACACTGGTTCCTTGCTATTCTGCTTATTGAAGCCAAGAAAGATCCCTGAGGCGAGCAAGGAGTACTGTCAGAAATGTCCTCTCCACAGCCCTATCAAATGCCATCTGGTGGCCTGTTTTAGAGTGGTTCTGATGGAGGACAGGTTCTCCATGCCTGGCCTCTTAGTTGCAGGTGGTACCTGATGTGGGGAGATCAAAACACCAGGGAGAAAAAATACCAAGAAAGACAACATAAAATAAAAATGAAAGGGTCTATGGAATATGGAGTGCTTTACCGCGAGTAGTTATTGAAGCGATATTTAAAAGAACATTTACTGAAGTATTTGAAGGGAAACAGCATAAAAGAGTACAAGGGGAGAGCACAGAACTAAAGTATTGCTCCAGATGAAGATGTTATCATCACTGTAGGCTGGATGGATCAAATAACTTTCTTCTTTGCTGCAATATTTCTGTATCTATCAATTGCATTGTCCCTTTGAGGCCAGGTTTCCATTTAGCTAATCGATGTTACACCATCACCACTGTTCTGCTACAGTCTTACATTCAGTCCTGTGTGCAGGAATGATTTAAGATCAAAGTCCCATTTCTGGTGAATATATTAGTGACGTCCAACCCTGTGACAAACGCATGGAGCTTCTTTTATTTAAATACATTGTTCCTGAAGTCATTTAAAAATGCTTTGAATATGTAAAACTGTCATCCAGTTTTAAAGAATGTGGGTTCATTACATTTTTCAGGCTTCCTCCCATTTCCGAACCACTGCCAGGGCCTCTTTATAGCCTGTTTCTATGCGGGATACAGGAGCAACCAAGGTGGGTTGTTTCACTATGCTTCCTCCCTCCCTTGACTGTAGGAAAGCCCCTCCCACGATAAAATGGTCGACGATAACCGAAGCTAACTGCATCAGGAAGTGCGACCTAGCAAGATAAAGAAGAGCTTACGGCCACCATTTAGGTTTGCTGTTATCTACTGGGTCAACTTCAAAGTCATAATGCTCATGGTCTGTTTAGCTGATGGTTGTGAGGGGTGTTGCTTTTACCTAGTAGGTCATTGATGGGATTTTGTGAGCGTTAACTCAGCAGAAAATCATCAACATATTATCTTTTTTTGCAGTTATCAAGACACAAGTGGAGTTGGTGTCACTGAGTTACTGTTGTGATCCCTGTTATACAGAACATCAGGCACTCGATTGGGACAGATAAGCACAAGTGTGGAAGCAGGAATACAATGTTCACTATGGAATGTGTAACAGGAGCATCCATAACACAGGGGAAGAACACTTCTTGTACATGTGAGTAGCCATACTGCCCTCATGTGAGACACTACACGCAACGGGAGTTTATGTAAATGCAAGTTGTTGTTGCTTCTCTGCTCTGACACAAGAGGAAGAGTGAACGGAGGAGATGCAGATAGCTTAATAAAAGGAGTCAGGAAATTGAACCCCATCAAGAAGTATAAAAAGGAAAGATGCGTTTAACAAAACAAATGTCGCGCTGGAGACGGAAAATGTAGAGAAAAAAATGGCACCAAGTGAAACACTGAGGGAGGAGGTGAGCAATAAATCACTGGATGCAGGCAGATTGGATGTGTTCAACAGGCAGATAGAAGTGGTTGAGACATGCTAGCTGTAGCTCTCAGATGTCCCTTTCTTGCAGTCTGTTGTCTCTTCCGTCTCCTCTGACTGAATCATGTTACTGAGCTGTGTTTCGTTCAATAATATTAACAGAGTGCAGCTGACCTGAGACTAAATGGAGCCATCCTGTTTATACCTCTTACTGGAGAGAAATCTAAGGGTAGCTCAGCTCACTTTCACTAACTGTGATCAGCACTCTGTGAAAGAGGCTTTGTGAGCTTACAACTGCCCCTCCCAATATCTAAATTATTCATAGACCCTGGTCACAGATCCCAGCCTCAAATCCACACACTTTACAGATGCAATATTTACTTTTCTGTAACTAAGTTTGCCTCTGGGCACAACATAACCGTAGGTTGCCCTGGGGGGAGAGCAAGGTAACAATAATTGATGCTCCTCATGTCAGTTTTAGTATTGCTTTAACTTTGACTCTCCAAGGTTATTCTCACTTCCTGGTTTAATGTCATCTTCAGAATAAATTGGTCCAAATTTATGTAACAATTTAGTTTTAAAATATCTCATTCCTCTTCTCATTCATTGGAGGTTCCTTCAGGTCTGTTGTCCACACTCATGTTCTTTTTCTGATCGAGAGGGCAGATCGTACCCTCGTGGCTCGCAGGCCTTTTCTGCAGCCCCGGGTTGCTGATCTCCGTTGCTGTGGGTTCTTGCTTCTTACTCATTGTGAGGGCAGCAACAAGATATTCATTAGATTCACTGTAACGATTAGACTTTATTTTTAAAACATCAGAGGAAGCTAGAAGGCAATACAATCTTAAGATTGTTTGTGTGTGCAAGAGAGAGACAGACAGAAGGGGGGTAGATAAACAAATAAATAGATCACTATTGACCTCCAAAGGGTTTGAAAGAGTTCAGCTCTCATCCCACCGCTGGTAAATCCATATCATTACTTTTGGATGTATCTTGATAGTAGAACACGAGGATGTAGGTTTAGAGTTGTAAAGGGCAATTTCAGGACAGATACCAGTGAGTTTCTTTTATATATGCAGAGGATGATCAATGCCTGGAACAGGTTGCGATGAAATGTGGTAGAGTGCAGGACACTGGACTCATTTAAAAAGCAGCTCCATGTCGTGATGGGGGACTGGAAGGGTGGGTGTTCTGGAGGGATGAGATTGGATGGGCCGAAGGGCCTTCTTCATCAATCCAATCTTGTGATCTTCTGAACACAAACCGGAGGGGAGAGAGAGAAAATTTCCCAAATACTACAGAGGACAGTCGGCAGCAACATGCTAATGTCACATAACAGAACCACATGCCGAACAGATCAAGTTACACCATTGAACAACAGCCCTTGGTGGGTAACATTAGCTGGTTGCTAGTTGTGTCAAATTATTTTTGTTATCTGCTTGCTTATAAAAGGAAATCGCATTATACAGTGTGTGCCTTTCAGTTCTGCCTTTATGTTGTTTTTGTCCTTTCCCTGCACAACTCTTGCATATTTCACTCAGCAAAACCACCGCAAGGCACTGATTGAAACTGAAAAGGCAGCAGGCTGCCACCCGAGGCTTTAGACAGCGTATCTGTCAAAGTCTCCAGCAACCTGCAGGAATTAGGCATTTCAGGCCCCCTTCCCCTCTCCCTCCAGCACTGGAGACCAGTCTCCACCAGGATTCATATTTTTGCCAACATGTCTGAAGGTAACCAGTGGAAATGACATGTTCCTTAAGAAGTGAGCAGCCTTTTCTCTAGCCAGCTTTTATCCTCTTATCATGGCACTGCTTATAAACATAAGGATAACAGTTTTTCACAGTGGGATTGCAGCATCACGAAGAGCAGAGGAAAAGGACAATTCTTGGCAATTAAAACAAACACAATTTAAATGGCTTTAAAACCATTGGTGGCCCTGTCTTCAGTCATTATGCCCCTAACCTCTGAAACTCTTTGCCTCAATGACTCTGCCTTGCCTCCCCCCCTTTATTTATCTTTAAATCCCATATTAAAACCTACCGCTTCAACAACATCTATGGTCACCTCCTCCTCTTCCTTCTCCCTTGCTCAGTGTCCAACACTGCCACTGTGCAGCCCTCCGAGATGTGATCCTGTGTGAAGGGTACTATATAATGCGAGTTGTTGTTATAAAATTCTAAAAAGAATATCATTCTTTAAGGGAGGTTTTGATTTAGATGCAGTTCCTGGAACAGTCTGCTCTGAACTTTCCAAAGGAAACCTGGATCCCGCCGAGCACTGGGAAAGCCAACACAAACTACAGTGATGCACTTTTCACTCTGAGATTTCCAACAAGAATTATTTAAGAAGTTTCCTTTTTTTAAAAGATAATCAGAGATCTTAACTAAGGAATCCTATTAGAAATCGTCACATGTTAGACATTACCTCTGTAGCCGGACAAGCTCACAGAGTTGGGCAGAGTGTTGGTGCACCAGCACAGTCTGGCCTTGAGTAGTAACTTGACCCTTCCACACCCGTTACGCTTTCTCAAGACTTTCGTCGGTAAGTTCTGCCAAAGATTCTAAGGGAGGCAGCAAATCAGGCTGTGTAGTTTCCCCGTGGGGAGAGTGGGTAAAGTTAATTGTTATTGACTTCCCAGCCAATCACATCCACTATAAAGCTAACAATCAGAGCGGCTAAAGAGAGGAAAGAAAATACATCAAGANTTTTTTTCATTAATTCTTATGCTGTGCCCACGGGAGTTTTGCAATTTCTTGAAAATATTTCTGGAGTCGGAGCATATTTATGGGTCAGTGGGCCATCAGCAGCCAGGCTGCCCAATAAGTACATTCAAGGACATCTCAAAGACCTCCTGTCCAAATAGAATTGGAAATCCAAATAGTAATTGAAACTGTGGTAAAGTGTATGCATCACATCAGCTTGTGTCAGTGGCAATTTTTCTTCCCTGAGTGTTTCAATCGACATGAAGCAGCAAGCTAAACCGGAGTATACATCAAACAAGTTGTACAGTTTCTATTAGATGCACCAAATGCATCTTCGGTAGGTTTTAAGACGTGATTTAAAGACAGATCTAAAGGGGTGGAGGCAAAGGGGTAGAGAGAGCGAGTTCCAGAGGTTAGGGGCATAGTGACCAAAGGTTTTTTGGTGACATGCAGCAGAGCGATAGCCAAGTGGAGTGGTTGAGCAGGGCAGTGGGTAGATAGAAGGTCAGAGATATTTGGAGATGCTGGAGCATGAAGGGCATTAGAGTTGAGGGTGAGGGCCTTGAAGTCCATCCATTGGGAGCCAGGTGATTAGTTAATTTAAATTTGGCTCCTTGTGAATAGCCTACCCTTTGATAAAAATTTAGTTCGTAAGGAGCAGTTCATATTCTAGCCATTTAGCAGCGAAATGATATATGCAAAGTACACTGGAAATCCCCTATCATGAGCACTTAATCTGCAGTCTCTTACATCGCAGTTTCCTTCCTGACAGGAAACCTCCAACTCAAACACCGGCACTAGTTTACTCTCAGATCCATCAAGATTAACATGAACAGAACTTTGATGGATTTGCAATGACAAGGTCAATGAACTGCCTTTAGATTGCTATGAAATAAAACAAATCGTGGGGTGGAGAGGGAAGAGGGCAAAAACGAGAGAGGCAGGTAATATTGGCTGCACTACGTATCGAGGGCAAATCAAGTCTTTCAATCGATCCCCATCCTCAAAAGTCCAGTAATTGAATTTCGCCCACAAAATGCATTCAATTCACTTTACAATATATTCTGTGAAACGCTTTCAGATGTCTTAATGACGCAATAAGGCACCATATCAAATGCAAGGATGATTATTATTATAATTATTATTATTAATAATGGTGCAAATGAGAGCAGAGCCTATTATTGCTGCTTGAGAAACTGCTAGATTATTTTGGGCTTTTGCTGCTTTCACTAGTCACTGACTTTCTCAAATAGCTAACCAAGCACTGCCTCTGAAACTGGACGGGGACATTTAATTGACATGTTAGAACATCTCACATCGAATTTGAAGGCACAGTGCTTTTCATACACCTCAGACAAAGTATTGGTATACATTCTCACGTGCCAATTAGCTACAGGCTTTCACAATGATTTTCCAGGTCAATAATTTTGAAGGCAGAGCTTCACAAATTACTTCTTGAAAAGAAATAATTTGCATTTTTATCGTGCCTCATTGCATTGCAGCATCTCAGTGTGATTCACAAGTAATCGTTGCTGACGTTTTTTTTTCTAGGCAAATGTGGAAGTCATTTGACTCAGTAACGTCCTACAGGCAGCCATTATGTGAAAGATCAATTAATCTGAATTCTGGACAATTTGGTGGGCTTGATTCTTGTACAACAGGCCAGGTTTTTAATGGGTTCCAAATTCAGTTTGATGTCTGGCATCAAGGGGCAGCATCTAGTTTTACAAGAAGACTGTTGCAAAGAAAACTAAGTGGTGGCACAAAAGGCAGAGTCAGGATTGAATACTTGGATCTATTTACAGAAGGGCTGGACTGACACAGGTACATTGCACAGAAACAGCAACTCTATTGTAACTTGTTCTCTGACAAGAATGTTGTGACATGGTACGTATTGACTGTCTGGCCATAGCTGCTCACGTTAAACGGTTCCTCAGAACGAACTCAACCTCTTGACAGCCCACAAGTGATATAAACTGGAAGAGCAAAGCTTTAACCAAGACAGGAGAGTATCAGAACTTTGTAATGCACTGCCAAGATATTAGTTATAATGTATTCAGTTTTATATTTATATTGCCATGCTGAACCTTTCCATTTGGGTTTCCTGTTGGATGTGAACACCAGTCACTGATACCACCTGACCGCCATTGTAGGGGGTCGGGTGACTTTGGATCAAGTAACAGGAAGAAGCCGGGAGTAGGTGAGCCCAGGGTCACACCTTCACCTGATAGCAACACTGTTGCCTATGTATAGAGAAAAGTGATTGCATGGGAGAGACTATAAAAAACAATCTGCTCCAGCAACTCAGATGCAAACATCTCAAGATGCCTATTGTTATCAAAAATCTGAGTTTATTTCAATAAACAGAATATAATACTATTCACTGTACAACAACAACAAGATTCCATTTATAGAGAGCCTTTCACGTCAGGAGGACGTCCCAAGGCGCTGTACAGTTGGGTCAGGACCGGAGCAGGGAAGAAATGGTCAGAGTGAGGGGAGGGAAGGGAGGGAGCGAGGAGGGGGTAGAGAGTCGAGAGGGGAGCTGAAGGCACGGTCAAAGAGAAAGGTCTTGAGGCCGGCCTTGAAGGAGGAAAGGGAGGAGGCAAGGCGAAGGCACTGGGGGAGTTCCAGAGCCGAGGGGCTGAGAGGCTGAAGGCCCGGCCACCGATGGTAGGGCGGTTGGGGCGGGGGATGTGGAGCAGACCGGAGCCAGAGGAACGGAGGGTGCGGGCAGGTAAGTAGGGGGATAGTAGATCAGAGAGGTAGGAGGGAGCAAGGCCGTGAATGGCCTTGTAGGTGAGGATGAGGATCTTGAATTCGATCCTCTGGGGGATGGGGAGCCAGTGGAGGCGAGCGACGGTGGGAGTGATGTGGTCGCGAAGCCTGGTGCGGGACAGTACACGAGCTGCAGAGTTCTGAATGACCTGTAGCTTGTGGAGGGAGGTGCTGGGAAGGCCGGCGAGGAGAGAGTTCCCATAGTCCAGCCTTGAGGTGATAAAGGCGTGGACCAGAGTTTCAGCAGCGTGAGGGGTGAGGTAGTGCCATAGTCTGGCGATGTTCCGGAGGTGATGGAAGGTGGTGCCAGTTGTGGCGCGGATATGAGGGAGAAAGGACAGCTCAGGGTCGAACAGAACACGAGGTTCCTGACTGGCTTTGAAAGGTGGAGAGTGCAGCCTTGGATGCTGATGCTGTCAGTGCCTGAGGTGCGGAGGCGCTGACGCGAGCCGATCAGGAGGGCCTCAGTTTTACGCACGTTGAGCTGAAGAAAGTTATCTCTCGTCCAGGACTCGATGTCGGACAGGCAGGCTGTCAGGACATCAGTGGTCGTGGAGTTGAGGGTAGAGGAGGAAAGGTAGAGTTGGGTGTCATCCGCATACATGTGGAAGTTAACCCCATGTCTGCGGATGATGTCACCGAGGAGGAGCATATAGAGGGTGAAGAGGAGGGGACCGAGGACAGAGCCCTGAGGGACACCGCACGAGACAGTACGGGGGGTGGAGGAAAAGCCGTTTGTGGAAACAAAGTGAAGACGGTGGGAGAGGTACGACCTAAACCACTCAAGGACAGGGCCTTGAAGGTTGAGGTGGGAGGACAAGCGGTGGAGGAGGATAGCATGGTCGACCGTGTCAAATGCTGCCGATAGGCCGAGGAGGACGAGGAGGCAGAGGGAGCCCTGGTCACAGATGGTCAGAATGTCATTGGTGACCTTGACCAGGGCAGTTTCTGTGCTATGGGCAGCACGGAAATCCGACTGAAGGGGTTCGAATAATGAATGGGTGGAGAGGAAAGAGCGCAGCTGGGAGGCGACAACTCGTTCAAGGACCTTGGACAGGAAGGGGAGGTTGGAGATGGGCTTGATAGCTGTGACGCATCAAGGGAGGGTTTTTTCAAGGTGGGAGTGATGGTAGCAGTTTTTAAGGGAATGGAAACAGAGCTAGGGGAGAGGGACAGGTTGACGATGTCTGTGATATGTGGGGCAAGGAGGTGGAGCTGGGAGATAAGGAGTGGAGTGGGGATGGGGTCAAGGGAGCAGGTGGTGGGTTTCAGGGATAGGATGAGTTTGGTGACAGAGGGTGGGGAAATGGGTACGAAAGTGTGTAGGGGAGGATGGGTAGGAGTCGGAGTGTGGGAGGGAGGGGGTGGGGGGTGGGTGGATGTTGGGACTGGTATCGTACTTGGACATATTGTGGGGTTCTCTGCATTGTCCATTAGGCACTAACAGCAGAAAATATGAAACTTCCCCCCTCCTAGACAAACTGAGCATCACCTGGTTCCCCTAATGCTGACAGTAACTCAGCACTCCAAGTCATCAGCTTGCAGTGCGCTTGGAAAGAGAGTGAGAGGCTGCGATAGCATACACCCTTCACCATTCTACAGCCTGGTGTGGCAGTGATGAGGCTGACAATACAAAACAGCAGAAATACAGATTTAAAAATATAGTCTATTTGATAACATTGGGGGTGGGGGGGACAACACACACACCTCTCAAAGAGCTTTACTGGATAACCAATGTATGACTGTGTGTTTTGTAGGCAGACTTCTGTTTGAGTACATAAGAACATAAGAATATAAGAACTGCTAGACGAAGGAAGATCAAGATCCATCCTGTTGGCCTTCCACCACCCTGGCAGTCGCACACACATCATATCCCAAACTATGTACTGTATCCCAAGATATTATTTCCTAATAGAAGTCTATCTAATTTGTACACTTTCTGCTTCCACTGTCTCCCTATGCAGCCTCCCGAGATAACAGCAAGCTGATTTCCTGAACCATTTCCTTATTATTTGGATGAGCAGAGATGAGACTGGCTGAGGAAACATTTTATTTTCTGCATTAATTTAGGGTTATTTTTGTCTTTTATATATTAATGAATAAAGCCTTCTGCACGTTCCTCGTCCCCTCCGCTCTACCATTAGCAGCCACACTTTGGCCAATATGCCCTGAGACTGGAACTCTCTGCCTCAATCCCCATGCTTTGCCCCCCACCTTGTCTGTCTTCAGATCACACATGAAGACCTTCCTCTTCCATTGTACCTATGATTACCTCCCTTCTCTCCCCATCTTAGCATCCAGGTCTGCCAACATTAAGCACTCCAAGATGCTACCCCACGTGAAGGGCATTATATAAATGCAAATTCTTGTTCTTGTGTTAACTCATCACTCAAGGGAAAACAGCTCAATGATGAGTTATCCAGAGTGGCAAGTTATGCATAATGTATAAATATGTAAATAAATATGGCTGGGATATTGACACATGATGACTTAATTGGTGGTGACAAGTTAAACCGGGTCGAGTTATCAGTAGTTTACTGTATTGTCTCCTGCTATCAGTATAAATATGGAATATCATTACAAACAGCACAGGTTAGACCTCCATTATGTGATATTTTCCAAATCATGTTTAGTCTCTTAATTATCCAAACATCACCTCTTCTATTTTAATTTGCCTGTGTTTTAATTTAAAGGAAACATCGACAAAGTACAATACTACCAGTATGATTGGGTTTTAATTGCATTGTAGGGATTGCCCTCAAACTAATTTTTCATTTGCATTGAAAATGTTGCGATAGTAACTAGATTTTTTTGTTTCTCCACAGTCCTCCTCTGTTTCCTATTCTTGTTGCTGTCTATTGCTGATGCCTTGCTGGCTTGTCCTACCCGCTGCACTTGTAAAAGATATGAAGTGGATTGCAGCAATCGAGGCCTCATCACTATCCCGACAAACATTCCGTTTGATACCAAATCCCTCTCGCTCAACAACAACAAGCTCAGCACCTTGCAGTTCCTCACATTGGCAAACCTCACTACACTGGAAAAGCTCGACCTATCCAACAACTACTTGGACCAGTTACCAGTGAATGTATTCAATGATGTTGGCAACCTGATTGACCTCAATTTAAGAAACAACAGCATCCGGAGCTTAGATAAAAAGATCTTCTACAGGACCATCAATTTGCAGAGGCTGGACCTTTCCGTGAATGGCATCTCTCAGATTCCATTGGACTTGTTTGACGAGATGCAGAACCTCACCTGGCTGTCTCTGAAAGGAAACAGGATGCAAAGCCTTGAAAGGGCAGCATTTGAACCGATGGTGCATCTTCAGTACTTACTGCTAGGAGGGAACCCATGGGAGTGTGATTGCAGCCTGAGAGACTTCAAGCACTGGATGGAGTGGTTTCTCTACAAAGGTCAGTGGAGCATACTCCTGGAGCTACAGCATCACATTCTGTCACAGCTGTCTCCATTCGCATCTCTTCAAATCAGATCATATTCACACAGTGGCTAAAATTAAGATCATCCATTTTGTTGCGTAATCTGAGTGGCTGGATATTCCAGTTGACAGTAAAACAAAATCACTATTGTTCTTTTCAGATTAAGATAATATTGCATTTAATTTATGATCCTCACTTAATCCAAACTAAGAACTAGTGATGGAATCAAAAATGGAATTCGATTTGGAGAGTTCAATCCCCTCCTCCCCCAACAATGAAGGTTAATGTTCAATAGCTCCAGGCTCAGCTCTCTATGTCTCAGGTGCCATTCTCCAAGGAGCCAGTTTTGAATTGTAACTCTCTGGGTTCAACTCTCTCTGGGTACACTCACTCTCCAGTCAGCACTATCCAAGGTCCTTTCCAATTGCCCTCTCTGAGTCCTTTATCACCTCAAGGCTGGACTACGGGAACTCTCTCCTCGTCGACCTTTCTGGCACCTCCCTCTACAAGCTGCAGGTCATTCAGAACTCTGCAGCTCGTGTACTGTCCCGCACCAGGCTTTGCGACCACATCACTCCCACCCTCGCTCGCCTCCACTGGCTCCCCATCAACCAGAGGATCAAATTCAAGATCCTCATCCTCACCTACAAGGCCATTCACGGCCTTGCTCCCTCCTACCTCTCCGACCTACTATCCCCCTACTTACTGGCCCGTACCCTCTGTTCCTCTGGCTCCGGTCTGCTCCACACCCCCCGCCCTAACCACCCTACCATCAGTGGCCGGGCTTTCAGCTTCTCAGCCCCTAGCCTCTGGAACTCCATACCCAGTGCCTTCGCCTTGCTTCCTCCCTTTTCTCCTTCAAGGCCGATCTCAAGTCCTCTCTCTTCAACCGTGCCTTCACCTCCCCTCTCAACTCTCTACCCCCTCCTCGCTTCCTCCCTTCCCTCCCCTCACCCTGACCATTTCCCCCCTGCTCGGATCCCGACCCAACTGTCCAGCCTCTTGGGACATCCTCCCGACGTGAAAGGCACTCTATAAATGCAATCTTGTTGTTGTTGCCCCGAAACTGCACCTCAGACACCCGAGTTAGGCCCTGAAACTTTGGAACTCTCTGCCTCCTCCTTGGCCATCTTCAGATCGCATCTGAAGCCCTTTCTCTTTGATGGTGTGGTTAGGCATCATGCTCCAACACTGTTAAATACTCCAAGATACTGCCTGAATGAAGGGCGCTATATAAATGCATGTTGTTGTTATTCACTTTCCACAACTCAGGCTCTAATCACCACTTTAGAGTCTGCTGCTACCTTTCGATCTTGGTCTTACACAATATGGGCACTGGCCCTTCATTGAGGTTCTCAACAAAACATATATCCCAAATTTTAATCTGTTCTGGATCCATGTTCAATTCTCCAGAAACAGAAGCACAAACTAACTCATAAATTATATTGTCACTGTCTGAACATTTCACGATCTTCCATAAAGATGTTGTCGAGTGCTATAAAGTCATTTCCTAACCCAATGGAGAGGTGTTGCTCTAAATCTCATATAGATATTGGAATAGAGATTTGGAATTAGTTAACTCCAGGGAAGAAGCATCAGCAAAGGCTGAATGGTCAGAATAGCTTCTTTCTGTGCTATAATTTCTATAATTCTATGAAGTCCTTGTTAACGTATTGCTTCTGTCTCACAATTAGGTGGAAAACTGGATGGAATTGAATGTTCTCTGCCCAAAGACCTGCGTGGGAAGGATCTCCGAGTAGTTCCTGTGGAGATGTTCAACTACTGTGTGGAGCTGGAGGATGAGAACAAATCCACAATGGATGTGAAGGCAGATCCTCCCCCTCCCTGTGTGAAGAAGGAGAAACCACCACCAGTTCAGACCACTAGTTTGAGTCCCATGCTTGATCCTACAATGCACACACAATGCATCAGACAACGTTACCGTCCAGCCAGTGTCAGACGAGCAATCGGGACAGTTATCATTGCTGGGGTTGTGTGTGGCATTGTCTGCATTATGATGGTGGTGGCAGGAGCGTACGGTTGCATCTACGCATCTCTCATGGCAAAGTATCATCGCGAGCTTAAAAAACGCCAGCCGTTAATGGGAGATGGGGAGCAGGAGCAAGAGGAACAAAAGCAAGCCTCTTCCATTGCATGATTAACAAGCTCAAGGGTAGCTCTGGCTTTAGCAGAAAAATCTTCAGTTTTCTCCAGCTCCGGTCTCTGTGTGCGTGTTGTGGTTCTGATGCTAGTATTGACTCCTTAAATCACTTTGGACCTGAGGAAAATTGGGAACACATCAAGTCTTTAAAAGAATATGCATACTACAAGCCTGACTCCTACTCTGTTTGTACGTTGGAGTTCTAGATGCTCTAGCAGCCTATTAGATGGGGTCTTTTACATGAAAGAGAAGGGCATTGTCTCTGAAAATCCCTTGCATGTCACTTGTTTGACACAGTATTTTGAACTTACAGCAAAATTGGCTGTTTTAGTCTATGTACATGTATCTGACTCTTAATTTGAAAAAAAAGGACTGGACCTTTCAGTGTATTTCAGTTTTTTTTCATACTCTACTGTGCAGATAGTTTTAACTTAAAATATATCAAGCTGAATGACTAGTTAAAAAAAAGGTTCAGAATGGAGATAATTATTTAAAACAGACATTTGGGACGGTTCAATTGACTTTAGGCATTGCGTGGTGTAAAAATCAAGACTGGTTATTCTGTGAGGTAGATTCTCAGGGGAAGAACCATATTAAAACACAATTTAAAACATTCTCCAATGTGGGTCTTTCATTTTCCAAAAATTGCATTCAATTAACACAGTTAACTGCAAGTCCATTGGATTGTGGTCCAAAGAAAGGGGATAAAAAATGGCAAGGGAAAGGAGAAAGAAAGATGCAGCAATGCATAGTGGTTCTGTGATTCTGATTTTATAATGCACGATTGTTGCTATTTCTTGACTTACTAGCAGCACTATCTCAGAGAAGCAGCAAAGAGCAATTGAAACGTTTTTAGTACAAAAGTAGGGTCATTTATATGAACCCTTGGTTGGACCACGTTTGGAATACTGTGTGCAGTTCTGGTCACCATACTACAGAAAGGATATTGTAACATTGGAGTGAGTACAGTTTAGATTTACAAGGATGTTACCAGTGATGAGTTGTCAAGAAAAATGGACATGTTAAAGCTTTTCTCTCTGGAGATAAGACAATTAAGAGGGGACCTGATAGAAGTATTGTAAGATTTTTAAAGCATTTGATCAGGAGGACATTTATTGACTGTTTCCATTTATTTGGTGTCTCCAAACCAAGAGGGCATAAATATGATAGACAGTAACAGACATAAAGGGAGTTTAGGAGGAACGTCTTTATGCAGAAGGTGGTGAGTGTGTGGAACTCACTGCTAGAAGCTTTGGTTAAAGCCAAAAGCATCACGTGTAAGAGGAACTGTGATGTATACGTGAGAGAGAAGGGAAGAGAGGGATACATGAGAGGGGATTAGAGGGAGTTTGAATACAGGCATGGACAAATTGAGCTGAATGGTCTGTCTCCATGCTATAACGTTCTACATAATTCATGTACGTAAATCTATGTAACTCAATCACTGGTGGAAATGGAAGAGTGAGAATTCAGTGGCACAGGGAAGAAATGTTACCATTCCAAAAACAGCAAAGTTGGTCTCTCAAGAAACCCTTGATCTTCACAGCCAGCAGAATTCTCTCATTCTTCTTTTCAATACGATTCTAAATCATGACTCAGAATAACTAAACAAAAAGTAAAGTGGGACAAGCCTGTGCAACTGCTGAGCATCTAAGTTATAACATTATACATGTTATAAAATTCATAAGTTGTGCTGATTACGAAAGGTAAATGTTTTGAGGCAGATTATTCAGGTATCTGGACACTAAAAATGTTAATTTTATTTATGGTGCAAAGCTCCTTCAAAACAACAGCAGTTTCCTTTGATCACATTTAAGATGAACATTCCTCAGCTTGTTCTCCCTTATTTCAAACATCATCACCTCACCTCCAGTCTCGGTCTCATCAATTTGAGTAATGGTGACAATTTATAAGGGACTCAATATTCCGGTTCGCAAACCAATTGCATGGGTCGAAAGTATCCATTATTCACCACAAAGAATGTGGTATGATCTAAGGGAACACTGAGGTTTGCTAAGCAGACCACAATGATTAGTTTTGTCCTGATTTGCATCTGAAAGGGGTCTCTTATTAAGTAGTTCTCTCCCTTGTTCATCATTTCTCTTTTAAAATTGATTTTTGGGAGTGCATTTGCTCAGTACCTACAAACTCTCTTTGCAATTACAGTTCCATACTGGACTTGCAGGTCTACAATAATCCCCTTAACAAGATTTGAAGGTACTAAGACCTGTCTTGGAATCGAATTAAAAAGAAGTAAAAATAGTTTGCAGCTACCTTCAGAGTTGAGGAGGTGTCATAGTGATAATTGGACTCGAGGATATGGAATTCTCGAAACCATTAATAACGTTGGAAACATCCTGTCCTTGTGAAGTCAGTTAAACAATAGAGTTGCCTGGGATTTACCGAGAAAGACTGAACGGCAAATATACAGATTCACCACAACATCGGTCTTGGACAGAATGGATCTGTGAGTACTGTACATCTATATGTGGAGCTGCCTTACTCTGTTTCAAGCAGACTGTCCAAGGTCTTATGTACGGTAACCTCATCACATCAGCAACCACAAAGCTGCAGCAAACCTGCAAGGACGATGGAAGTTTATCTGCTTAGATTCCATCTTCTTGGACATTCTGTTACAGTAACTTCAGGTTGATGACATTTAACATCCATTCACAGTGCATGAAATTACTTTAAACTTCAGTGAAATGCTATACAATGAGAACATATTGCAAAGCAAGTTTGTAAAGTGATATTGGCATTGCAACGTACTTGTCATGTCCCTGTGGAAAGAGGCACAGTGTGACACACTTTTCAAAGACAATGATGTAGCAGCTTCATTTAAAGTTGCTAGCAGTTCCCACCCACTCCACCCCCTCCATTTCATGGCTCTGCATCCAGGCAACCTAGATACTAGGGTACTCTGATAGTGCTCTCAATGTTTATAAGGTGTGCCTACTGTGGATTTGCGCTAAATAGAACTGGCTGGCTGACTTTGCATGTTAAATATGTCTAACTTTCAGGTCATTAGTGTGTTACTGAAATCAGCCTTTTTTCATGCCTCACTTATAATGTGGGACCTGGAATATCGGTTTCCCTGCATCTGCTATCACCTGCCTTGCTCAATTACAAATATGAAACTGAGAAACAATGCCTTACTGGGTTAACATAAAATCAGAAGAGAGATTTGGAGGACGAAGAGTCTTCAGCCTATTTGATCTCATTTTTCAGAACACCCCCGCCCCCAAGTGTCCAATGCTCTGGCCTCAAGCACTCTTCGTGATAACTGTTCCAGTTGTTAATCTCCTGGGTGAAGAAATACTTTCTGGTGTCTGTCCTGGAATTGCTTTTTGCAACCCTAAACCTATCATCTCTTATTCTGCTATTCCGGTGCATCCGAAAGAACTGTTTTGAGTCAACATTCCCAATCCTTCTACACCTCTGTGAGATTACCTCTGAGACATCTCTTTTTAAGATGTTGTCTTATTGTTGCTCATCTTCTCTAACACTGGGAATCATCCTCATTGCTCTCCTCTGCGCTGCCTCTAGGGTCTGGCCTTATGGCACAGTAACTAGAACTGTAGGCAGTATTCTGGGTGTGGTCAGTCTAGAGCACTACACTGCTTGAGGATAACTTCTGGAGATCTGATCTCAACTGATTTGGCAATACAACTCAGCACTCTGTTTGACAGGACATGAGATTGATGGAAGCCATTACTAGGCTGGAATCTGATCACGGGCTTGATTAATAGAAAAAATGATAAAAGGCTGGAATCTAATTGATGGGTTTAGGCTGTTTACATGGACGTCAGGAAGTGAGTAACAGGTTCAAATTTAAATGAGATGTTTATATCAATGGTTTATATCAAGAATAATTGGAATGTTGATTAGTTATCATCCAAACAGATTGTTTGTAGAAAGTAAAAGACACCTGGAGCTAATGTTCACTGGAGTCTGAGCAAGCAATTCAGACGCCAGAGCAGTTTATAAACCTCATCTGACGCCCAGGATTAAATTACTACTATGAATTCAGTCCTCGTTGTTCTCTGTATTTGTTTTATAACATACACTGTTCTAATTTTATACGCGTGTGTATTTCAGTGTTGAATTTCTTTCGTTGCCAGCAGCAGCTCTCCTCTTCCTTTCGAGTGGTGCTGCTGGTGACATTCTTAATGCTGGATTAAAGTCTGCAATTTCAGTACTGCTGTTCTATTGAGAAACAGCCAGCAGTGGATATGAGAGGTTGTAAAAGTTCAGATTTCTTGCTCTGTTAATTTGGTATTCAGAAGCATTAAAAGTGAAACAATTGTTTAAAAGTTTAAAATTTGAGCAGATGCACAAGATTTGGGGGCTTTCTTTAGGAGACAGCACAGAAGGGATAAAGTTTGTGCTTTGGTTGACCCTACGTATTGAAAGATTCTGAGTATTTATTACCGACTGCTTAGATTAAACGGGAATTGCAGGCTACATATATTAAAGAGGAGCAGCAGATTGCAAGAATCAAAGGGGAACAGCATGTTGCAGATGTTAAAGAGAAAGAGCAGGCCCAGAACACCAGACAACATATATTGATAATAATTAAGTCATAAACAGGGTCGCAGAAAGGATAGACAGATGGCAAGTGCAGTTTAATGTAGGAAAATATAAAGAAGCCGTCCATAGTCTAGATGTTAAGAACCTAAGAGGAGTAAAGGAGCAAAGAGATCTGGGGATTCAGATCCACAAAGTTGTTGCACAAGTACATAAGGCTTTAAAAAGGCCAATGGGTCTAAGGTCATTTTCAATCTATGACTGTTTGTGGGACATTGCTGTGCGCAATTGGCTGCCGCGTTCGCCCACAAATATACAGTCAATTCACTTTACAGTGTGTTCTGTGAAGCGCTTTGGGACGTCCTCCCGACATGAAAAGCGCTATATCAAATGCAAGGATTATTATTATTATTATTAAAGACTTTATATTCAGAGGGATAGAATCTAATAGTGAGGTTTAATTTATATAAAACCTTGGTTAGACCACACTTGGAGTATTGTGTCGAAGAAGGATATTACAGAGATGGTAAAGAGTACAGCATAGGTTTACAAGGATGATACCAGGGCTGGCTGGTTACAGCTATCAGGATAGACCGGATATTTTAGTGCTTTTTGTGCTAGAGAAGAGATGCTTAAGGGAGAACCTAATAGAAGTGGTTACATTTTAAAAGGGGTTGATAAGATTAACACTAATAGGCTGCTTGCACTGGTTAAAGACTCCTATATCTTAAATCCTGCAACTTGGCGATCTAAAAGAGAATTTACGAGAAAATACTTCATGCAGAGCATAGTGAGATTGGGGAATTTACAGCCTGAAGCGGTATTTGAATCAATAATTATAGATGCATTCACGAGGAAGCTAGACCTTCACATGAAGGAAAGGGGAATAGAAGGAATAAGGAATGGTTGAAGACTCGTATGGAATATAAACACTGCACAGACTGGTTGTGCTGAGTGGCCTGTTTTCATGTTGTACATTCTTTGTAATAAATAATCCTTGTGCTACCACTTAGTCAAAACATCTCAAAGCAATTTACAGTATTTATTGTAGAGCGTAGGGACGGTATTTCATAGGTAAATGCGGGGTCCATGTCCCACAAACAGCTAAGAAATGAATGAC